GTTCGTTCATTCATTCATTCATTCATTCATTCATTCATTCATTCATTCATTCAGTCATTCATTCATTCAGTCATTCATTCATTCATTCATTCATTCATTCAGTCATTCATTAATTTGTTCGTTCATTCATTCAGTCATTCGTTCATTCAGTCATTCAGTCAATCATTCATTTGTTCGTTCAGTCATTCATTCATTCATTCGTTCATTCAATCATTCATTCATTTTAGTCATTCGTTCATGCGTTCGTTCGTTCATTCGTTCGTTCATTAATTCATTTGTTCATTCATTCATTCATTCATTCGTTCGTTCATTTTTATTCGTTAATTTGTTCATTCGTTCATTCATTCATTCATTCATTTTAGTCATTCCTTCATTCCTTCATTCATTCATTCATTCACACGATACTGCAGCGTTCATTCATGCTTCACATCAGCGTTTAGTTCTAGAGTTTGACTTTATGTGCTTTTGTCATTATTATTGCTTTATTTCTTTATATATTCTTAAATACTTAGCTTTAATTGGTTTTTGTCATCAGTTTTAGGTTTAATCATTTTTTTTAGCTTTTAGCTTTAGTCATTCGCCAATATTTTATTTTATTTGAGATGTATTTCTGTTAGTAAAAATAATTTTTCATAGTTGTAGTTTTAGACCACAATAACAAAAACTCACCTACCAGCATTATCCGTGTATAACTGAGATTCTATTATAGTTATTGAGATACTATCATAGTTTTTATTAATATTTTCAATTAGCTTTTATTTTTATTTTTATATTTTCATTTTCATTTTAAGTTAATGTTTTAATCATTTTGTGTTTTATTTGTTTGGTGTTTTGTAAAATATATCTGTGTAGTTTTTATTCGTTTTTATTTCACTTTTAGTTGTTTCAGTAAGTTAAAGGGCACCTATTATGCACTTTTACATGGTGTTTGAACTGAAATGTGTGTTGGCAGTGTGTGAACACAACCACTCTACAATGATAAAAATCCACCCACTCCTCATTTTTTAATCCCCATTAAACCAAATCAGTCTCCACTAGGCCTGCCGTTTTGATTCTCTATGTGTTGTGACATCACATTGCATAGGCCCCGCCCACAGCCGCTGACTGACAGCCCTGCATTGCTATAGTTCTCGCCCTCAGCGGTTGTACGCTGTTCTCCATTTTCTCCGCGCTCGGGCCGCTGTAAAGTCAACAATGTCTCGCAAGCAATCCCGATGCTCTGTGTTTGGATGTAAGACTAAAACATAAGAGTCTTCATTTTCTCCCAATATCTGAGCTGCTGAGGACGCAGTGGATTACTCATCTCTGCTCATGTGCTGCTCATGTTTACTGGTCTCCATGAACACAGTGATTCAGTGTTTATATTCGGCGGATCTGCAGGAAACGAGTCTCAGTTTCTGAGTATGTGAGAGTGGAAAAACTTCAGTGCTGCGTCAGATTCAACAGAGTCGTGTGAAACGCTCACGTTCCTCCAAACGCCTCAGAAAACCCTGAACAGAACAAGCAGTACATCCAACACAACAAACACATGCCAACAACACTGATTTACTTGATACTTAAGAGTGCTGTGCATTTATAGGATTAGTACTGTATTGTGCATTTATCTTACTGGAAAGAATTGCATTTACACTAAGATAAATAATGTGTAATAATGTGTAAATTCTTAAATTAATTTAAAATAGTATTACTGTTATTCATGAATTATTCATTTTATTGTAGTCTAGTGAGTATTTGCTTGTTGAGACAAGCAAGAAAATTGAAGAAAAAAATTAAATCAAAATGTGTGTGTGTGTGTGTGTGTGTGTTGATTGACAGGTGGGTTCTGTACGAGGATCATAACTTCAGAGGCTCTCAGTTGCTGCTGAAGCCCGGCGCTGTTCCTGATTGGCCCAAATTCTCCTCCTGGCTGCGAATCGGATCGCTTCGGCCGCTCACGCAGGTGAGAGGCTCCGCCCACTGCTGCTCATGTGGGTGCTGGGGGCGGGGCTATCAGAGTGTCTAGAGGAGAGCTGGATCAATATTTGCTGTGTATTTGAGTCTCACAGTGTTTGTGTTTCACTGGCACAGAAACAAGTGAATTTCCGTCTGCGGAGCAAAGAGGCGGGGCTACTGATGTCCGTCAGCAGCTCATTGGACGACATAAAACTGATGCGTATCCAGGTGAGCGAGGAAACGGGCGGAGCTGAGCAGATCTGGACCTATCAGGACGGTCAATTACAGTGCAAGGTAGTAATTGAAGTTTCAGTGACCCGTTACACAACTCAGCACTTTTCTGCTTGTGTAAATTATTTATTCATTATTCAATTACTACTAAATTATTGTGTAAATTATGCTTAAATTATTTAATTAATATATTTGTATTAAAATGCATTATTCATAAACTATTAATAATATACACTTTATTATTGTAATCTTTGTAACTTGAGACAAATAGCAAGAAATGTAAAGAAAAAAATATATATATATACATATATATATATATATATATATATA